AGTTTCTTTGTTTCTTGTAGTATTTCATTTCCATGATTTGGCTTTGCTGCTGCTGCTGCAATTTTCTGTGCAGATTCAAACTTCACAGGCTGGTGCAAAAGATCCTTCTTTTCAACTTTAGTTTGCTGTTGTGCTGCTTGATTCTGTGGCTTCTGAATATCACTTGGAACCTTAATTTTATTTTCTTCCATTTTGACTACAGGAACTCCACTTTGAGAAGTGGGAATATTTTTAACCACAACCTCTGGAGACTGTTTGTCCTTATCATCTAACTGATTTTTCTCATTGCTTTTATGTTCTGGCTTTACTCCATTAACTTTCAGATCCTTACCTGAAGGACCCTGAAGACTATTATCATTTCTCTGCTTTGCAGCAGCCTGTTCTATATCTTTCTTGTGTTCCTTTAGTTGCTCAAGAATCTGTTTTTGTTCCTGAAGAAGTTTCTTTTGCTCTTCTTTATGCTTCTCAAGTTTCCTCAGCAATTCCTTATGCTTTTGTTCATTATCAGCTTCTGCTTGCTTCTCAGCTTCAGCCAGCTCTTCATCTTCCTTCTTGATTGCATCCAGATTCACTTGTTCACTGTTCCCTTTCTCTTTCTCTGCTGGTGAATCAGGAAGGATCTTTTTCTCTTCTGATAAACCCACTGCAGCATCCTTATTTACAACAGAATCGTGATAAGCAGCATCTTCAATCTGTGGAAAGAAGAGAAGTAGTACATCAGCAAACCAGAGATGTAAATATAAAAATAATTAAGTAAATGAAGGTACAGAACCAAGAAATTTCATAATCATAAACAGATCATACGAGATCGCTGTTGACAACGGAACTGATTATTTTTCAATAAATTTTACAGTTATGACTAAAGCCACATCTGAATGCATATGAATATACATGATGGAAAATAAAAATAAAGGGCAATTTCACCTTGAAAGAGATATTAACAACAGTGGAAAAAGATTGATACAACAAATTATGACATCAACCAGACTACACAGCGCAATAACCCAGAAGACAGAAATCTTCATACTCACCACTGTCAAAAACCTCAAATCTTACAAGTTATGAGCCCTCCCTCACTTACACCTAATTGGTTTTCATCATTTTTCACTCCACTGACAGAATTAGCCACAGAAGAATAATAATCTATAACCTGGTTTTGCGGTCTGAGATGTAAAAAATAATGTCTAAATACACTAAGATTATTCTGTGAAAACACAATAAAATTTACTTTAATATAGCCAAAGGTTGATATCACAACATGACTAGATGCAGCTGGAATTACATAAAAGGCTATAATAAGTAATGATAAATAAAAAATATAGTATATGGATAAGATTTTATCATAAATGGAACTTAGGACCCTGGCCACACGACCATACAAAGTATGTCCGTTGCAACAGACGTACTTTTGTACAGATGAAGGTAACGACACCTCACGAGCGCAGTGTGACGTTGACAATTGCACCAATGGAGCCGGAAGAAGCCGTGGTCTTGCCCCTTCATAATTCTATCACGGATGTCACGATGTGCATTACAACGGACGTACTTTGTACGGTCGTGTGACCCCAGCCTAAAACATTATACTGTATCACTTTTGTAATTGTCACTAAGCAGTATTGTTGTGATTTCAGAACAACTTCTGGGTACAACTGAGACTGAAGCGCATTATAAATTGGAGGTGGTTCATTCTAACCTGCTGTTTACCATCCTGTAATACAGGAGGTATTATATCTTTCTTCTCTGCTACAGCTGCTGATGGTACAGCTTGTGGTTCCACAGGCACTGGAGGTTCTTGTCGAACATGAGGCTTCTTGGGTAGGTCTACTTGCTGTATTGGGAGATTCTGTCCATTTGTGTCTATATTTCCAAGTACTGGCTGTTGCTTCAGCTCAGCTGTACTGTCCTTAGGTCTCACTGTCAATAGGGGAAGAAAAAAAAACAAAATAAACAAACATATTAATACAGTCAAACATACAACAGACAGAAGATGACTGTCTTCAGGAATGTTATGCCATGTAGTTTGGTATAGAATTTAATGCTTCAGAGGAGCTTACTGCCTCCATTGTCAATGTAAGTAAATTTCAACCAGACTACCTGATGCATCATCCCGGAAGACAGTCAAGGTCATACTCACTGCCAGGAGAACCTGAAATCTCACTCCTACAGCAGACATTTGAAGCCAATTTCAGGAACCAACACATCAGACAACTGCAACTGATGTCACAGTCACTGCATTCAGTAATGATTAAACACAGAAGCATCTTGTTTCTGTTCTTGGGTGATGACACTATGCTGTGATGGGGTTGATGTTCTGAAGAACCTGGCTGTCTCCATCTTCAAGATGGGGTGACAGTACAGTGACCTCATAATTCTAGAGCATGCAAGTAAAGAATTCTATGCTTTGAGTAGTGGATGGGTGGCCAATAATGACACACATCAAAACTCTGGTCCCTTGTGGCCTGTAACTATAAATATTGGTGCCATGTTTCTGTTTAATCACTGCCTTGAAAATGAAGACAGCAAGGTTCCCTGAAACATTCACAAACCAAGCAACCATAACAAAGTGTCATCACCTAGGTAGGTACAAATTACCAAGAAAGCCTGAGGACTTCTGTAACAACATTTCATAAGAAGTAAATTAAGTAAGTTATACAAAAATGAAATGGAATATCAAAATCTGTACCTTTTGACTTCTCATCAGCAGTTAATTTATCTGCTACAATTTCATTAGCCACAGGCTTTTTAAGTTCAACCAGAGTCATTCTTGCAATGCTGTCAAAATGGTCAGGCACTGGACTGACAGCTTCAATTCTGCCTGCATTTCCAGGCTCATTAGCTGCATACAAAGTTGCATATGTACCCAGTACAAGAATAATGACTCCAATAAAGACAAGAACCTTTGAAAAAAGAAAGAAATATAAATTCACAGATGCAGTACGACTGTTAATTTAAAACTGAGGAACACAAAAAGTTGAATACTGATCAACAACAAAAGCCGAACCGGGTTACTGTAAGCACAATTTACTGTGTATCCCCTTTATAAGTACTTCCTAATAGTAGCAGCACTTGTAAAACAGAACATTTTTCCATTTAATATCATTACTAAGAACTAGGTCAATTCTCTCTCTCTCACACACATGCAGTCATAAACAGTACCAGTATCCCCTCCAGAATTTCTATATAAATTATCACCTGAGCAAGCAGCCTCTCTTGGGTGTTCTTGGTTGATATGCTTATGAAAGCAACAGCTGGGAACATAACACATATGAGTACGCCAATAGTCGATCCAACAAGCCCTAGGACTAACTCAATATTAGGGATAAGCAATCCAACTGTTAGCGACATGGATATGATGCCAATGGTTAAACACTTGAATCGTGTTTCTGGAATATGGCTGCTCAATGTCTCATGATGGGGCATTTGGACCTGCAAACAAAATGAAATGTCTTTCATATATTTCCACCAGACAACATGAAAAACATGTAAAAAATGTTGATTTTAAGAAATAATAGATGTGATAGGTCTGTTTTTTGAGATCACTGGTAAAAGAAATGTTTGAAACAGTATTGACTAAGCATCTTGGAAGCCATGTTATACGTTCAGTTGGCAAGCTTACCATAGAAAATCCTTGTGTTCAGTGGATCCTCCTGCGTGACCATGGTTCCTGTGTTTTAACAGTCTTCATATTATACTTTCTTACAATTAAGTAAGTAAATAACATGATCCAAGACAGCGGTCTGCACTACAGTGGATTACATTATACTGTACTCTGACTTTATAGAGTATTTCACAACACAAATATTACCACTGTTGTTTGATACCGCATTTAAGATCATGAATTAGGACTTATATTTTAAAGTAGAGAGGAAGATAAGACACTTAAGAGCTAATAAGCAGAAGTGATTTTATTTTTATAAATTACTGCCTTACCTCAACTGACATGATACAAAATACAGTTTCACAGAAAATTGAAATTAAAATAAAATTTACCCTCTTGAAGAGAAGGGAATAGAGGCTAGCTCGACACGGGAAGATCGCCAGTGGAAAGCTTACAGCCACCGAGAGAACAAACCCCATTTTGATGATATCACTCATTAAAGTTGGGGTGAAACTCATGAGTATGTTTCCTGTAATTTAAAATAACAAATTATGTATTTTTTTAAATAAATAAAGTTGCGAATTAGATAAAGAAGACTATCAATCTTTTATGTCATAATAACATGTCGAATAATGCATAAATTTTTTCAAGTTCTTACACTCTAAAAAAAGAACTTCAATAACTTTCGACATACACATGATAAATGCAAACTGTATATGACATATAAAAGCATAAGTAATAAAGTGTCTTTTGTATTACTTCATATCATACAACCGGATTAAACAGGCAAAATGTTTTATTATAGAAATCTTATAAATAAAAAGTAACTCTGTTGAGCAGAGAGGGGATGAGGCTAAAAGTTGTTTAGATAGTTGAAAAATTCCTTGGCTTTCAAGGAAATCAAAGGCTCATTATCATGTTACAACAGCCCACTATCAGACCCTGTCCTGAGTCATTATGAGATAAGATTACATCTTCACATATAATTTCCTTAGATATAAACTTCATATTATGTCTCCAACATAACCTCCTTTCAATAAAGTCTTCTCGGGCGATCTGCTTTTTCTCCCATGTGCCCTATATCTTACAAAATACTTCTCTACTCTACAGCCTTTCTAATATAAGACATTGCCAATGGCCATTTAACATAGTTGGATGTGAACAGCTGGTGTTTTGCAGAATAACAATTATTGTAATGCACTGTAACCAACATTCCTATAAAATCAAATTTAAGAAGTCCATTATGAAATTAACATTCAGAAGCCATTCAATCATGTTCTTGAACTTGAAACAAGTACCAAACTAACATGTAAACATAATTTTGATTTATGGTATAATAATTACCAGTAAAGTTCTGGGTGCAGAAAGCAACATAACCAAAGAAGCCAACGCATATGTAGAAGGCAGTGCACAAGCTGACAGCTGCCCGGATGACATCATTCATCTTGTCCAGAGAGGCATTGGGTAGAGATTCATAGATTTCAAACAATTGCCTGTCATCAAATATACAACAATTAACCTTTCTAACTATGTACTTACAAAATATAAATTTCATATTTCATCAAAGCAAAGACTATTTCATTTTAAACAGGGAGGTATATGAAGATGGCTGCCTTCTACAACCCAAAAGACAGCCATCTTTGTACTCACCACCAAGAGAATCTCAAATCCTGCAGGGCAATATATATTATACAATTTTTTAATATATGCAAAATATATATATGAACAATTTTTCTGACACATTCTAATGATACATGAACACAACTTTTTGTGGCTTACTAGCAAAGACAACAGGTAATGGCTGGTAGTCAAAATTAATTGATTAATTGATTAATTATGAAATATTAACCATAACTCAGATACCTGATTACCTTAGTTAACTGAATGTATGCTCATAAATTATTAGCACTCATAATGATACTTACGTCTGGCAAAACAGTGCCATGGAGAAGATGGGAATGCACTGTAGCATGCCTGCAGGTCTCCAAAGGTACACGTTTTCCATCCAATCACCTGCAGCCAGGTGTGGCATAGCTTCTGCCATTACCTTAAAGGAAGTAAACAGAAATTATACAAATATAAGAAATTTGTTACTTTTGTTACATTACTAAGCATTGAAAGGCAGGCTGTGTGGATACAATAGCATCACTGAATGTCAGAATAACCCATGTCCTATGAAAATTTATAATTATTTTGCTGTTAAAAGCCACAGACCTATACTGTTAATGGAAGTATCATACAATAAACAATGAAAAACTGTAAGCAGCTGAAAAACTTACTTTCAATACAAGACAGAGATAAAATCCAATCGTGGCAGCACAAACTGAACTTAGGCTGTCCACATTTCTCAGTAAACCTAAAGGTAAGACAACAAAAACTGCCAGACCTAGAAATAACAGAAGGTAATTTATTTCACAGATCTTTACATAACGAAGAGACTCATCAGCATTATTTCCTCCGACAGTGAAAAGAGCAAGGGCCTTCAACATAAAATTTAATCAAAATCAGTTCAATGGTTTTGAAGTAATGAAGTGACACAATATAAAAGCCCATTTAATTATCCTGAAAACCATAAGACTCACAAGAAGTATATTGGACATAAAAATATGTGTATAATTTTCCTTTATAACTCTTGTTTTAAACACTTTTAGCTCTGATAAATATTTTACTAAAAATGCACACAGAATTGAATGCAGGTCATCATGTAAAATATCCATCACTGTTGTGTGTTTTTAAATATGCATGTGTGTATCTGCATTGTTATTAAGCAGAAAAGTGTCTGAATAATGTTATTATAAATAGTAGTGAATTACTCAGACCACATATACATATAAAAAATTATGAACATTATTGTGATGGTAACATACCTATCAATACAATATCCCTCAGACTTGCTGTGTTGCTGATATTCAGTGTTTTGGCTGCAATTGCTGGTCCTAAATCACCCACAACAACGAAGAATGCTATGCAAGTACCCATAAGAAATCCAATGATGCATAACTCTACAATTGTTTTACCAGATGGTCCAAATGTGTGGAAAGCTACAAGAAAAATTAAGGTTACATTTACACCAATCCCTTTAGATTTTTAACACACATAATAAATACATACAAATATACCTATAAATTTGCTCACAAGTACTGAATAATTTAAATATTCCATATTACAAATGTTATGAACTTACCAAGGAATTCAAAATTTCTTCTCCTTGCCATAATGGCTGCTTTAAGCAAAAAATGGCATGCTAATCGAGATAAGAAGCTACTCAGAAGAAGCATCAAGACAGAAAGGATGATGCCACACTGCAACATAAGTCAGTAACACAAAAACTGCTTTCACACAAATATATGCAGAAAATAAAAATTCTAAGAGGGTGTGGACTGGATTCATGGGCAGTGGTAGGCTGTTGTGAACACGACAAAAATTCGTTAGATTGTATAAATAACGGGAAATTTCATGAGTAGCTGAGCGGCTATCGGGTTTTCATTAAGAATTCTGCTCCATAAAGGGTTTTAATCATTTGTCATTAAACAAAACGCTAACCTGTTTGAAGCAAAATGGCATGGCAAGAACACCAACACCAATGATGCTGTTTGCTAGAGTCATTACAGTACCGGTGTTAGTTCCCATTGTTATAAGTAGCAGCTCAAACTTGCTATATATTAATAACTCTTATTCCCGTATATATGAGCAAACACATCATAACATTGTCGCAGTCAAGGTTATGTCAGCAACCATCCATACACATGAGAAGAAAATGTTGATAAACTTTCAGAAAACACCTTTCTAAGCGTATTTTACGTAAAACGTGTTTACATTCTTCTTAAAATCACATCATATTATATTCTACATGGCACTTCTGTTATTGTTTATCTGCTCTGATACCATATTGTGTTACATGTACAATGTTCCATGGTGACCAATAG